ACTGCATTTTCTCTGAAAAGACCGTGTTTACAGCAAAAATCCTGAAGGTAATGATTTTACTTACCAGAAAAAATTCAATAAGCTGTAGTTATTCTGGTGACTATAGTGTCCCTTTAAATTTCTCATAATTTGCTCACAAAAGCAAGTCTGCTTGAGACTAGGCCCTCTATTGGTTTAAATGGGGATACAGGAGTTTAGGACATTGCAGAAGGGAGTGGATCGGATGTCTGGAAGTAGTGCTACAACACACTGAACATATATAAACCTGTCCACCTTGACAACATAAATATTTTTGGCACAGTAATGCTGCTGAATCACACAGATGGACCAGCACCATCTCACGGACCTTGACCTGCGGCTTTATGCTATCAGCACCAGCACAACAGCATTACAAATGGGATTCAATGTCAGATTGACATGGTACTGGTTTCCTGAGTGGAGTACCATACTATGTAAGCCATGGGTGGTTTCCATCATGCCACTGGCCTCAAGACTGGGCATTCCTGGAAGGAGGGACTAAGAATGCACAGTGTGACTTCTGTGTCCAATAGGGAAGTGATCACAAAGGCCATTTGTATCTGGCCACCAAGAAAGCCCTGGCCAGGAAAAGGAACTCAGTGTTATCCATTCTCTAGCCCAAGTCTTTGGAATTCTCCAATGCCACAGATTATGGGAAAATACGTCTCACAGGAAGAACAATATGGTTCGTATATTTCATAAAACATAGGAGAGCTGGGGTGACTTAGATGGTTACTCCAACCATCATTACTACTTCGGTTATATGAAGTGGCTATGGTGATAGGAATATGTATCTGCAGTGACACTACACATACTGAGATATTTGTAATTGTATGCTGTGGACAGGTTGCACCCCCAGCACCATGACATTGTGTTCCGGGCTGGCAATATAAATTCTGTGCATATTTTACATCTGACGTCAGCACGCATTATATGCTACCAACTGATATTAACATCTTTCCCTTGCATGCTGAGCACTTTCAAGGGAAGCTAGCTTTCCCCTCCCACCCAGTCTGCATTCCCTCTCACCTCTCTCCATTGCATAATTGCTTTTGTTTATATTCTGATTTTTTTAAGTGTCGTTGAAGGGGACACGGAAGAGCAGCCACTGGAAGCTTCGCCTGATACTGGATTTCAGGTAAGTAAAACCTTTTTTTCCCACTTTTTTTTTGATTCAGAGGAGGGACCTACTCCACAGTGACCAATAGGGCATATTATACTGGAAAGGTCCCATCTCTCGAAACAGTTATAGCAAACTTTTAAGTGCTACATAACACAGCACCCTTTGGCCTGTGGGTCTAAAATGCCACCCAACATATAAAGCAAGTAGGTTATTGTTTTTGCTTATTTTATGCATTATTATCTTCTTTCCTGGTTCTTTTATGTTTTGTCTCTTAAAACACACCCCAGTGCTCTGACAAATACTCTCCCTTCATGCTAGCCTATTTCATTGCTCTTTTAACAATGAGCATAAAGCACTTATTTTTCTCTTTAGTACAGCTATGAAAGAGCTTGTGAAAGAAAAGAAATGTAGATATACCCCCAATAATTAAATACATACACGTTTTCATTTGGGTTATATCTACTAAACAGTGATTTTGATTTATTTTGTATTTGGCAATGGAGTGTTCCTTTAAGGTAAATAGGCCAGTAGTATTTACTGCAAATATAATATGAAACGTCAACAAATATTATTGCAAAAATTCCTTTTCAATGAGACACTGAATGTTTCAGGATGCACTAACGAGGTGTAATAGTTTATAGAATTCCTCTTTTTGTATAAAAAATTAAAATAAACTCAGGAAGTACCAGAGTAAATTTGAGATGAATTCTTTTTTAAGATTCTGAAAGAATCACTGTTCTGTTCTCACCATCCAGTTATCCTCCTCTGGGTGTGGCGTTATCAAAAACACAGATGATTATGTAATCTATTGATGTCAAGATAATTTTTAGGAAGAGTGAATATCGACATTGAATATCAAAATATGCAGTGACTGGAACAACACTATGCAGTGCTTATCTTTTTCAAGTGAGACTGACGTTACGTTATCATATTGATGACTTTTCCAGGCATAGTTGAGCATGTGCCAATGCAGGATCTGATGTTGTGAATTAACTAATAATGCAAGTATAGATATGATACATTAGGATAAATTATATTCCCAGACATTCCATTAGTCATCGTAAGACTCTGAAAGTTTGTGTGGTGGTCTTTGGAGTCAGCCAACTTAAATAGGAATGGTCACGTCTTTGGAAATTATACCACTGAATAAGACATTAACAATGTTCTCATGTGCTACTCTGTTTTCTTTTACATGTATATTTCTCAGGATTCCTAAAGATCCTTGCTAAGTACTAGAAGGTAGGAAAAGCCACAGGACAAATACTGAAGACTTACCTTGATCAGGTATAATTGCCAATGGAGTGGTTTTGGTGTATAGATTGTGCCCCTGCAGTTAAAATGCTCAGCTATCTGCCATTTATGAGTTAAATCACTTTGTTTATGCAGCCCTAGCTACACCTCCCACAATCTCCCTACACATTTCATGTAAAGAGATCTAATGTTTAAACTTTATCGCACAGTCTGTTTAATTTAAAATTTCTTATCACCTTGCTAGAGCCTGCAGGAGCCCCCTGTGTTATTAAAGTTCAATTAACAGGACGGGAGATAAAATCATCTCAAGTAAACACACTGTGCTGTCAGATCTGAATTTCAAATGAAAAAACATTTATATGTTGGCTGTTAGTCACAGCCAGGGAAGGTGAGGCTAGGGCTGCATAAACGCCTAAATGGCAAATGATTGAACAATGAGACTGCAGGCGCACGATTCATATGGCAACTGACTTAGAGATGGTTTCCTGTTATTGGCTATTTTTACCTTGAATTTGAAATTCATTTAGAGTTCTCACTTTAGGGGATAACCTTATACGATGGAATCGCATGTAGAATGCTGAGTGACAGCATTTTGCTCACATTGCAACACAAGCTCTTATGGTGATCTGATTTTGAATGCTGCTTTTTAAATCAGATAGGGAAGGCACTTGGTTGATATATCATTCAAGGCTTCTTATGGATGACCTCAACGTATTGGATTTAGCCCAAAATGTGACCACATTATACATGTAACCTTAGAAATCTTGACTATTAACATGTATTCCTTCTCAAATGGCCATAAATCTCTGGTATTAATTCTGCATATGTGTGCTGAAAATATAATGAAATGAATGACTGGGGGCACTTTCTCAAGAAAACCAACATATTTCTTTAATTTTATTTTTTTTAATTCTTTATTTTTACAATGCATATTATGTGAACAGACGAATGTGAGGTACCCCAACAGCAATCCTCATGCGTTATTGAGACATATGTAACAATGGGGTAGTCGAGTATACATGCATTTTTTTACATTTAAACAGGTAGCAGTATTCACAAGCAATATTTAACAGTTATAGCCAGCAAGAGCTGCGATGTGTAGGTTATCATGCCGAAGACATTGTGTATTTTCAGGCAGCTACATACTGGGAAATATATTAAATTGCAAGTATATAGTGTAACAGATACTATCATTAACTTTATATACCTCCAGGTGGGACATCATCTACCAAGCTGTATTTATCAGTAGGCAGTGAACAAATGCATATTTAACTGGTGGTGTGATGAACAAAATGTTGAACAAGGTGGTCCTGAGCAGCTTGTCTGAGTATTACAGTATATACTCGAGTATAAGTCTAGTTTTTCAGCACATTTTTTGTGCTTAAAAACCCCCACTCGACTTATACTCGAGTCACTGTCTGTATTATGGCAACTTAGAGCCACGGCCGTCAGAGCCATGGCAACGATCCGCGCGGCAACCAGACCGCGAGACTTACAGTGGATCTGACCGGAACGGAGGAGAAGGGAGCTGACAGGAGCTGCAGGAAAGGTAAGTAAATGCTTCCTGTTGGCCCCCCCACTTCAGAGCCCATGCCACTGGACCACCAGGGATTAAGATAGCCCCCCTCCCTGACCAGTTAACAAGCAGGGAGGGGGGACAAAAAATAAAAAAAATAATATTAAAATAAAAAAAATTGAAATAATAAAAATGCCCTCCCCCCACCTAGTTCACACACACTACACAAACACACACTCTACATTATATACACACTCTGCATATATAATGCAGAGTGTGTGTTTGTATGAGTGTGTGTGTGTGTATATAATGCAGAGTGTGTGTTTGTATGAGTGTGTGTGTATATATAATGCAGAGTGTGTGTTTGTATAAGTGTGTGTGTTTGTATGAGTGTGTGTGTATATAATTATAAAAATCACAGAATTTCATAGCCCCAAGTTTTACCCTCGACTTATCCACGAGGCATAGCATATTTCACAATTGTTGGTCACAAAACTGCACTCGACTTATACATGAGATCGACTTATACACGAGTATATACGGTATACTCACATTAACAGGCTGGTTTACCCTCGCTAATTTTGCTCTCGGCTTATGTGTAGCATTTAATTTGCCCCTAGTCCAGCATGCCAACGAGACTGACTAATTATTTAATTAATTAATTGAGGCCCTTTGAATAAGGAGGCTTATGGGCTGTGAGCCCGGCAGGGAGCACATAGATATGTGACTTAAAGAAAAACAAAGAAGAAGCATATGAAAAGCGAACTAAAAAGCAAACTAAAGGGCATATATACAAGCTTGTTCTTAGATGAGTAACCTAAGTTGAGTCACATAGCCTAGAGAGTAGTCGGGTGAGGTACTCCTCATATAGTCGGACAGTTTCCCCTCGGGGACAGTAGGCATAGTATCAGATCAGTATGCCAGTTTGCTGCAGGTGTCTCCATTCACCCTATACCAGAGGTCGGCAGGCTTTCGGCATAGGTCTGAGAACATTCCGAGGCTTTCCGTGTGGAAGTTGTCTCCTGTGTTGAGGCTGTACGATTCCGGCTGCGAGCAGTCGCTTGGGCTGGCCTCCCGGCATGTCTGCGTGCGTTGAGGCATTGCTGGGGCTGGGCAGTCGTGTTCCCTGAGGTTTTCTCTGCTGGTTGTGGACGTTTGAAAGGGTGAGTGCTGGCGCCTGAGGTGCAAGCCATCGCCACTCGCTGCTTCGCTCTCAGGCTTCGTCCCCTTCTGGAGGCCGCCCTGGGGGCTCGCTGTGGGTACTCACACAGTTGCCGTCGGGTAGCTGGTCAGACCCATGCTGCTACCGCTTGGACCGCTTGTTTGAAGGGCCGGCCTTTATATCTGAGTTTTGACCATAAGCTGGTGCAGAGTAGGTCAAAGAACTCCTGGGTGTGTCTGGGTAGAGTGGTAAGGGTGCCGCTTGTTCCAGGTTTCGCCATCTTTATCTCTTTCGCTGTGTGCCTTTCTATGCTGAGTTGTGGCTGCATCAGGCCACATGTAGTGAAGCTCGGCTTGTCCGCCATCTTGGGCACCGCCGCTTCCATTCTGCTTGGAAGTTCAGCGGCTGCTATGATGTCTCGGCTTGTAGTTTTCCGTACTGGCGGGGACCGGGATAACCCCCGCCGGTCCATAGGGGGGGGGAGCAGTGTGCGAGTGTCCCCTCTTCAGCCTGAGAACCGGGAGAGCGGCCGTCTCTCCGCGGCTCCCACCCGTGCAGGCCGCGGGTTGTGGTGTGGGCAGTTCGGCGGCGGGGAGCCCCGAATCAGGTATCTCCAGACTCAGCATCCCCTTCTGGATATGAGGATGGTTGTCCGCTGCCGGCACGATCCGGTGGTTGGGCGTAATGCCCAGAATCAAGGCTTCAAACATGGGAGCTCTCGCCATGTGCATCTGGCTCGCTCGGCTGGCAAGCTCCGCCCCTAAAACACATTTCTTTAATATACACTCATCATACCATAGATAGTGTGTCTATCTAAAATTAACTAAAACGCATTATTGAAGTGGAATAAAATATAATCAGAAACACATTTTAATTCAAATATTTGAAGATTTGCTAATTTGAAAAATGAAAAAAAAAATAGAAAACTTTTTTTTAATGTCTGCTAGTAATCTATTAGGTAAAAATGAACCACAACATTTTAAAGAGCCACCATTTTTTTTAATTTTTTTATTAAAGGGATATTCCAGACCCCTAAAGCATTTTAGTTTGCTGAAAAGAGTCTGTCCTCTATTTTCATTTTACAAAAAGTGCAGCTTTCAATAGAAATTTACACTTTTATAAATTAACCTTGTTACACCGCCCTGGCTGTCAATCAGACAATCGACCCTGTTACTTCCTGGTTTGTTTATCTCAGAGGAGCTAAACGCAAGAGGCAGTAATAGCCCAGAGCACATGCCTTGCAAAGATCTCCCATTGAGCTGCTTTTGGAAGTATGTGATTGGACAGCCACTGAAAGTCTGGCCTGGGTTAGAAGGATGAGAGTTTGCAAAGGCAGCAACTAGGTGGCACATGAGTATTATGATAAGGTTATGGTTTGAAGATATTAAATATGCAAAACTAATAGTCACGAAAATTTAATTAAATAAAGCAATTTGTGTGATCTGTTTAGTGTATCATTTGGATGCATAACAACCACTGAATACCATTTCTATTCTTCATGTAGCCTCCAGGTAATAGTCTATAAGCAGGTTTATAACTAAGTAATAACCATTATTAGGAATAGTAGTAGTGAGGGATAGAAATATGATGACATTATCAAAGTAGATTTGAATCAATGCTCAATACTAATTTAATATGATTTAGTCCTTGGCACAATATGATGGAAGGAGATGAGTTATTTTTGCATTTCTATAAAGGGTTATATTGCCTTCCGATCCATTTCTACAGAGTTAAGGAAAACATATTTGAAATGTAAAATGTTTGCTATATGGAATGCATTCTGAAACATCCAGACACAAGCTGGAAATAGTGATATTGAATATCAACCAAAAGGAACCTGGATTCCATACACCAAAAGTAAAGATGGTATTTGCAATTAGTGCAATACACCTGAACGAACATAGGGTATAAACTATTGGCTGATGTTGTAATGACCTTGCAATGCATCCTCGTGTGTAAGTCAAATGTGTTACAGTATCTGTTTCTATACCAAGAAACACAGAAACATCGAATGTGACGTCAGATAAGAACCATTCGGCCCATCTAGTCTGCCCAATTTTTGAAATACTAGTCCCTGACCTTATTCTATATCCAGGATAGCCTTATGCCTGTCCCACACACGCTTAAACTCCCTCACTGTGTTAACCTCTACCACTACGGAACATGGTCAATAAATGTTTTCTAATATTTCTTTATGCACCTTTGGCCGAATTGTTAGATTGGCAGAGCCTTGGCATAGCTCTGAAAAAAAAGTGAGTTTAAACTTGAGAATATTGCAAAACGTTGTATATATAATTCAATTTTATTGCACTAAGTTTTGTTTTAATTGTTTTGGGATTTGTATTGTCAGTTATGTAAATCATAAACATGTAACTCTACATCTAACTGATGATTTACGGTATTCAGCTACTATTCGAGATTTAAAAGGCTCACTGACAATAAATCCTAGGGGCTAAAGGTGTTGGTTTTGAAACGTATAGGAGCTTTCCTTTAAAGAAAGTTTGCAATCCCTGTGGGAGATTCTTCACTAGTTGAGCCAGAGTGTAATTAACATCTTTACCAGCCCTGGCCTTACCCCAAAGTCAGCGGTAATCTGCTATCAGCTTAACCTCACTGAAATGAATTCTGCTTTGAGCAACAAAAATGTTCCCCTCCCAGATATTGCAAAGTTGGCTCACTCATGTGTATACAAGATATGAAATCTAGTTAATCTTTTTCAAAGCATGTATTCTTTGTGTTTGTGTCTACTTTTCTCAGTTATGTGATTACGGAGTTTGACATCAATGAAACAGATGGTATTTACACAGTGTTAATATTCCTGAGTATATAAAAAAAAGCTAAAGAGTCTTTATGCTACAAAATGTACTTACTTATGATTGCAAACATCATTTATAATGGAATGGTTCAAATGGAATTTAGAAGTGATCATTGCTTTAAGTTTTAAGTTGTATTTGTATTGTATATCTGTATCTGTATTATTTTATATGTATGTCACACTAAATGACAGAAGGGTGTGAATTAAATAGAAATTTAGAAAAATCTCACAAGTTATATTTACAAAAGCTATTTTCCCATTTTATGGATTTTAATAAAATTTTTAAAATAATTTTTTTTTATTTTTTTTTTACTCAATAGTGAATTCTCGTGAACTGCAGACCAAATATAACAAATTAGTCAAAATAGCTGAGTTGGAAAAGAGGTGGAGTTGTACAATTATTAGAATTGCTTGTATGCAGTTTTAATTTTTACTAGCTTAAATTACTGCCAAAAACCTTGTATTCCATAGCAGCAATCTAATCAATTAATGAAATATCATACATGTTAATATGCAATTGTTTAATCGGAATTTAATCTCCAATTCCTACTTGCCTTTATCTCCATTAACAGTACATTATAAGTAAATAACTATATTTCGTACAATATTGTATAATTGTATTGATTTTTTTGTAAGTGACTTTGCTTGTGCATGAGCCTGTTAGCATGTTTCTTGGTGTTTCTGTCATTTTAGTAGGCAGTTTGTTTGTACGTCTTTCAATCTCTGTGTGCTTGTATATGTGAACCTGTCAGTTTGTGTGTGAGCCTGTCAGTATATTAATCTGTATGTGTTTGCGCTATCAGTTTATCTTTTTGTGTTTGTGCGTGAGACTCAGTGTGTCTGTGCTTTTCTTGTGTGTGAAGTGTCATTAAGTTTGATTGTGCTTGCATGTGAGCCTGTCAGGGTGGCAGGCAATCTGTATGTTTGTCTGTCCATGAGCGTGCCATTTTTTTTTTTTGTAAATTTCTTTTATTCAAAGAATGTCCATTTTATGTATAAACAGTATCGCAGACACACAGGCCCAATAAAGGCTTTTTCATTTCACGTCTCAGACATGAGATAGTTATAGTGAACAACCATGGTGACATGCAAGTCATCAAATAGTCTTAAGAAACATTCTAGTTGGACTCGTAGGTCCTAAAAACCTTTGTGTGGGTAGGGCTTTCTCTCTAGCATACGGTTGTTATGGCTATGTTAGGCCACCTAGTGTGACAGAGGTGGTTTGTGTGATGTGCCAAGACAGGTAGCGTGTAGTGACCAACCGTATGGGGGAGAAACAGGATTTTGTGCGTGCCTTGCGAGTTCAGGTCTAGGATCTTTGGTGTCGGTGGAGTGGAGAGTGTGCCATTTTATTTGTCTGTGTTTTAATATAATGGGAGTCATATTCCTTTACTCTTGGAGTGATCATTGAATAGCTAATCTTTGACAAACCAAGTCCGGCAGGAGGGGGGCCATGAGAGTGGGGGGACCTATTAACACTATAGTGCCAGGAAAACGAATTTGTTTTCCTGGCACTATAGTGGTCCTTTAAAAATCTCTAAGTATTTTTTACTTAAAGTCTTCTTGCTGGGTTACTTTATAAACTATGTAAAAATCTTTATAGCAAATGTTATTTTCTGCTCCTCTGTTGACTTTGTCTTTATGGTTCTAAATTGTAACTATCCAAACAACCTTGGGAAATGTAATATCCTTGAATGGAAAGCAAGAGAACTGATTAATATGAACTAAACAGACTGATGTCTCATTTGGTGGCTCTCTGTATAATGAAGCGTATGGTCCACAAAGGCTAGATAAGATGGCTGAACAGAAACGTTTATGGCCTTGAAAGATGAATTCACTTCAGCTTCCATAAATCAATGAGTTCAGTAGGTCCTTCCACCTTCCAAATAACAAGACATTTCTACAGGTTTCAAACTGGTCCTGGCCAGGCAGTTTGGACTATGTTCAAGCCTAGGGCCATTGTTTAAATGGTAAAGCAGAAATCCCCCCACCCTCAGGCATGGCTGATGTTTAGTTAATTATTTCTCTAAGTGTCCAGTACTAGAGCCATAATTCAAACTGTCTAGAGCTGATTGCTTTGTCTTTGACATTGGTTTTGGGATGACTGAACATTATATTATGAGTGCATGGTACCCAGTTGTCTCATTTGTCACAGTGGTAACACATAAACTGAATCCTAACCATAACCCTACACCAAATTGAAAAAATGCTTAGGAGCAAAAGGCAAGAATAAATTAACCTGTCCTACTCTGAAAATAAAACACCCCTGTCAATTATCTGATTGAATATTGGTTACCTTTTAAAATATGCACTTCAGGGTGCATTAAAAGAACACTATAGGCACCAAAACAAATTTAGCTTAATGAAGCAGTTTTGGTGTATAGAACATGTCCCTGCAGTCTCACTTCTCTGCCATTAAGGAGTTAAATGACACTTTTTATGCAGCTCTGGGTACACCTCCTTGCATGTGACTAACACAGCCTTCCTAAACACTTCCTGTAAAGAGTCATCTAATGTTTACACTTCCTTTATTGCAAATTCTGTTTAATTTAGAATATTTTATCTCCTGCACTGTTAATAGCTTGCTAGACCCTGCAGGAGCCCCCTGCATGTAATTAAAGTTCAATTTACAGAACAGAAATATTTTTTTTTAAAGTAAGTTAGATCTGATTTAAAATTAAACAATTTTGTTTTCCTGCAGGCTTTGTCAGTCACAGCAGGGGAGGTGTGCCAAGGGTTGCATAAACATAAACAAAAGTGATTTAACTCCTAAATGGTAGTGAACTGACTACAACAGTGGCATGTTCTGTATACCAAAACTACGTAATTAAGCTGAAGTTGTATTGGTGACTATTGTGTCCCTTTAACCAAACAAAATGGAGAATAAGGAACAGCGCACACACACACAAAAAAAAATAGTTTTACATTTTTCAAGGCTACTTAAGACCACCTATCTTAGCAAACAAATATGAGAATTCAGTTACACTATATGGCCATATTGTGTTTAGCCCACCTCAATATCGGCG